CCCACTTTCCTAGCCAGCATTTCTAGTTTTCTTACATGTCTCGGTCAGTTTTTTTTTCCTTTCCAAAAACCAAAATCAAAAGACATTTTAAAGGGACCAGTTGTGGCCTTTGCTTTTTCATTTAAATAGAAATTATTCTTTACTACAAGCCATGTTTTCATTTTAAAATCTTTGCCTTTGGGGAAGTTGTTGCAATGAGCTGGGAGGGGAGGAGAGAATACAGCCGCCTGGAAAATGCAAAAGCAACTGAAAACTAACGTTGTAGCAGCTTATTTGCAAGAATATTCCCCCCACCCGCCCCCAGAAGGGCTTTGGATCTTTCAACAGGACAAGGTGCGTTGCCACGTCTGTTTATTCTTTTTAAATGCACGTGGAGAGGCTTAATCGGTAGCCCAATAAAACGCGAAAATTGTGGGGAGAGGATCCGGCGAGAAAGACTTGGTTCGGAGTATAAAGGCGGATCGAAAGCGATGGAAGGTCCTTCTCAGTTTTAGACAACCACATTCGAAATTATAGAACCCGGTTTCGGATAGATAGATGGATAGTTGATAGATAGAAAAATAAAGCAAAAACGCCAAGCAACAAAATCTATAGAAGCTAACGTACACAAACCCTGCACTGAGAAAGAAGTCCCACGTGGAACTGATGGGAGTTTGTTAGGATCAGATCGCCGTTGGAGCCCAGTCTAAAACAGGGTGATCCACAAGTGCCACTGAGTTAAACAGAGATAGGATGGAAGTCTTTATTTAAAAACAAAAACAAAATAAAATAGGGATCTATTCTAGCGTGGAGATGCGGTCAGCCTGTTAAACTCCCATTGAAATCAATGGGAGAGGGGTCTTGAGTTCATTCTTATCTTGACTCAAGCTTCCGCTGAATTCCATGGGACTGAAAACGGCTTGGACTTTGGCAAGATTTTGCCCAGTCGCTCGAAACAGTCCTCCAAAAAGAACCGGAAAATATCAGCAGCCAGATTTCTTTCTCTGCCCTCCGCGCTTCCGCTCGCGCGCCGAAGCGTTGGACTATAACTCCCATTCCCCGTGGGAAAAAGGGAAGACTGCTTAACTGGAAAGAAAGGAAAACCCTCCGTAAGTTTGGGGATGTGATTTACACGGGAGTAAACATGGGGAGATTAGGCTAGCGAAATAACAGTTGAAAGGCATCGGCTTTGGCCGACCGCAGTCCTCAGGACTTGCGTTCTCAGGTCAAGAAAGCCAAAAATAATTAAACCGTGGTTTGATAAACAAGAGCCCAGATCGTCCACGACCGAACTCTAATAGCTTTGCAGCGCAAAAGCCGAACGCGGGCGGCCTGCTTTCCGTCTCCAGAATCAGGGCTCCTTCCCGCGGCTCCCGATTTCCGGAAAAGTGGCGAGTGAAGGTCTGTTTGCCCGGGAAATGAAACGGCAGGTTCGGAGTTGAGATCGAGAGAGGGGAGAAAAGCGGGGAAGAAAAAGCAGACGGCTGGGGCGGACGGAAGGAACGAAAAGGAAGCAGCGCAGCCGTGCATCGTACTCCTAACCATACCTACTCGGAAGTCAGCTTCGCCGATTTGAAGCCAACTTATCTTTCACTCCAGAAGTAGGCGTACAAAATTAGGCCCCACAGCCCCCCAAACTCTTGCCAGCATATTCACCACCGTTTTACAGTTCCTTAATTCTGTTTATACGGTGGAAATAAGCAGATCGAATCTGGATTTGTTGCATGACTCGGGAAAGCTTCGGGTCGGGTTATTTATTGCAGTCGAATGGTCGATTTGCTCCAAAATCGAGGTTAGGCGCTTACAGTGGTTTATTCTCGCTCTGGTGCTCTCTCCCTCTTTTTTTTTTAAAACAAAAAGGGCTGTTTTAAGGAGCAGCAGGAACCGCGAGCGCTGCCCCGAAGGCTGCCGCGCTCGGTCCCTGTTCCCCGAGTTAAGCTCCTCGGGGCGGAGTGGGAGCAAACGACCCGATGCCAGGAGTCCCCAAGGAACCCTTCCTTGACCGGCCGGGTAACTGCCACTGAACCGCGCAGGAATTCTTTCTGGGCGAGTAAACAGCCGCGGAGAAACCCGCGACCCCTTACAAAACGGAGCCTCCGAAGAACCCCGAGCCCACCGCTTCCCCTTCCAGCGGGGCGCATCTGGCGAGGCCGGAGGCGCGGAGCGGTACCTGGATGTCCTCGAGGCTGGGATGAGCCAGAGCGTGGAGTCCCAGCGGCCCGTCGGTCAAGGCGTGCGCTCCGTCGGCCA